AAGGCAAGGCAGGCGGAGTGGCGGCAAGTGCAGTAAGGAAAATGGAGGGGCGGTAGTCGGGGCGGAGACAAGATCTAGGATGGAGAGACGAAGCTGTGGCAGAGAGGCGGCGGATACGGTGGTGGCAAGTATAACGGAGAGAGGGGCAGTTGCGGCGAACGCAGTGGCGGAAGGTGGAGCGGGAGGAACGGTAGTGGTGGTAAAGTGTGCAGGTTAGGGAGAACAGTAGGCACGCAGCAGTGACAACAGTTAGTAAGGCAGGGGCAGCGGCAGAAGGGCAGCCGGCAGGTAGGAGGAACAGTGGCAGACAGAACATGGTTGTGGCGGGAATGGCGGCAGCGGCAGCAGTGGCGGCAGTGGCGGTAGCGCACGCGACGGCGGTGGAGGCGTATGCAGCAGCGGCAGGCTGCAGCTGTGGGTGGTGGGCTGATGTGCGAGCGTGGGCTGCTATAGTACTACTGGTGGCAGCAGTAGCGTGCAGCAGCAGCAGCCGTGGTGGCGGCAGCATGCAACGGCAGCAGTGTGCGGCGGCGGCACAGTGGCAGCTGTGGCGGTAGTGGCAGCGGTGGCGGCGGCAGTGGCAGCAGTGCCGGTGGTAGCGTGCAGGCAGTAGTAGCAGCGGCGTGCGAGGCAGCAGTGGGGCAGGGCAGATGCGACCGCTGGCAGAGGCAGGCGCGCGACTGCGGACGCACACAGGTACGTGCGTGGCTGCTAGCTCTCGCGAGTGCACATGAGCATGCACTGCAGCTAGCGCACGGCTGGCAGTGAGCGCGCGGAGAGCAGCGAGTGCGTAGCAGGACGAGAAGGACAATTGCGAGCGGGCTAAGGGCAGAGCTAGGCTAAGAAACGACTAGAAACTAAGTAATGAGGAGCAACTAGGAGCGGAGTGCAAGCGACACAAAGTAACACAATACCATGTCGAGAGAGTCAAGAGGCTAGTAACGAGGTTACAAAGATCACAAGTGGAAAGTGTTGTATTCACTAAATTCCAACCCTGCCTAGCATATAGAAACATACATACATACACACATACATAGGCATAAACATAAAACATAATTTAGTTAGACAGACCCCGCTCCCTTCCCCCTTCCCCATCCGCCCTGGTTGAGACTGCTCATAAGAGATGCCAGGCAGGAAATTCCTATACAGCTCCCGTCATGCATATAGTGGTCTTTTGACCAACCAACCAGCCCTGTACCTGCTTCTGCCCAACTGCAAGGAACGAGTTCCACGCGACCATTCTCCAACTTCCTGCAGCATGCAAGTTGAGCCATGCACAACCACATCACCATCCCATGCCTCACTCGTCGGTATGCATATTTCCCCCCCCATTCTTCACACCCCTTGCCTCAATACCTCTCCTCCATCTCCCATACCTCTTCTCTCACCTCACCTCCCCTTTCATCATCACTCCCTGCCACCCTACCAGCCTATCCGCCTCCGTACGCTGTTATAAGTGAGATAACCCCCTTCTGGAGGCAAGAGAGTTGTGAGATTGGTCAGGGCAGTCAGCTGCTGCAGCCCATCATCCGTGACTGCTGTGTCAATCAGGGCAAGTGTATCAAGCCCTGTCAGTCTCACCACATCCACCATGCCAGCACTTGTCACACCCTTGCAACCAGCAAGCACTAGAACCTTGAGAGAGGAGAGACCTGTCAAGTGCGCCAGCCCAGCATCGGTCACCTTGGTCCCCCAGAGATTGAGGTGCGCAAGACTGGTCAAGGACAGAATGCCTTCCAAGGCATTATCTGATACGTCAGTGCGGTTGCAAAATAGCTTCTCCAGTTGCGGAAGCTTATAGAGGTGCTTGATGCCCTCTGCACTAAAACCTGCGGTACCATGCAAGTCAATGCTCTTCAGATGCGTCATCGTGGACACATGGGCGAGCATGGCGTCTGAGAGGTGGAGATTTTTTAGGTCCAGATTTGGCTTCTGTGATGCTGATTGGATTGCCTGGAGGAAACGGGCGAAGACATAAAGCATTACAAGAGTGGTATGTATGAGCACGCGGCGATAAGAAAGAGGTGGCAAGCAATTCACGCCCTGTAGACCAGTTCACTCAAGTCTCACCAGCCACGCAGCCTTCTGGTCGCCTTCACTTCGCACAATTTCCAGCTCAACATTCAACTTCAAATCGTGTATCCGCCGCCACTCCTTGCAGGCTGCCAATTCCTCCATGACACTTGGCCAATGCAACTCTTGCGCATCCCTCCTCTCCTCCTCCCAGGAACACTCGGCTGTTGTTTCTTGCCTTCGCTTTTTACCCTTCCCTCTCACCCCCCATACACCCGATGCCCTACTACTCTCAGCCAATTTCTCTGCCGTAGCGTCCTCGTGCTCCGCCAACTCCCTCTTAACCACTGCTAACTCACCCTTAACCACTACCAACTCCCCCTTAACCTCTTCCAACTCCCCATTCACCGCTGCCAACATGTGCCGCAACTCATCCACCTCCTCCTTGTGTGCAGCCAGCTCCTCTCTCAATGCTGCCAGCACCGCCTCTTTGACCAAGTCAATCAGTGGCCGCACCGCTCTTTCAGCAGCCATATCATACACTGGACTCTCCTTTGATGACTGAGCCTCGCGTTCAATCACACCGCCATACACTTTGAGTGAGTGACGAAAGTATGTCACATCTGGGTGGGGTGAGGTAGGGTTCGGTGCAAACAGGAATATGGTCATGAATGCACACACAAAGTAACCATCGAATGGGCATGAGGGCCAAAGAATAATGTAAGGAAAGAGGTGAGGAGCTAGGTCACAGGCTAGGTCAGTGGCAGTATGATGAATGAGCTTAGGAGAACGTAGCACATAGTAAAAGGTCCAGGCCTAACAATGCCCCAAAATCTGCACATTGAGTTCTAACACATGTACGAGCACCATGTACGTACACTGGGAGCCTTGCAATGTGGAAGGCCGAGACTTGGAAAGACAATAGCGAAGCTCATGCAGAGACCTAAAAGTCAGAATGCATACCTTTAATTACCGTTTCTTTTTTGTTTCTGGGAGTAGAATGTTTGCAACTGAAAAGTCAGAATGCTACCCACTAGGCATTCCCAGAATGTCCCTTTCAGGAGTGTAGACAAATTTGAGACGTTGGGTAACCGCTAACAGTCTTTTGGGGAAGCCCTTTTGGGGGGATCGTTTTGAGACCTCAACTTTTTTAGGTGATGCTGGAAATGCCTAGTGAGTAGTAGCAATTTTTCGTCAGTTGCACTAGTAAGAGCATGGAAGCGTGACGCCTCATGCATACTGCGGCTTGCGATTCACTATTTTGAGGTACTAAGCTCTGATATTGTGGAATGGACGGCGGGGAAGGCATAATGTACGAGGATGATATAATCGGGAGGGTAGAGAGCATCGGCGAAAGGAGGGTCGTGACCAAACAGACGTGACCAGCCTTGCTAACTGATTCTAGGGTTTCGCAGATTGAGACGTCGTGCTGAGTAGCGTAACACGAAGCCCGCAACGGTGCAGGACACGCCAAAACGATTTGGTGCGCAATGCGAAGTTATACTGAAGAGAATGCGATGGCTCGGAAAAAACGCCGTGTTGTGTGGCGAGGAGGACTACTCGCCGGATGACTGGTAGTCAATGCTATGCGACGCGGGTTCGCAAATAAGCGTTATGTGATTTTGTGAAGCGCGGCTAAAAAGGTGGGATGAGCAGGGTGAGGGTGGTGTTCGAGACATGAGCAGGGTGTACACACTGTATTCGACCAGACAAGAGCTGGTTGGCTTTTCTCGGTTCTAGGTCACGGCATTCAATGATAGTGTAGAAGATGCCGAACCCCCACCAGAGGAGTTACCAGTACAGAACAGATGTCGTCAGTGATCTTTCTGTCGAGTGTGTAACAGTTGAACGCAGGGGCATTCTTACCAATAGTGAAGTCGGAGCGAACAGATTCGTAGTGTACACATGATGCCCAACCACTGCGCGCGAATTTGCCTTGAACATTTCAGAAACTCTGCACTCGTGTTTTTTTTCCCACTCAGTTGCACCCAGGTTATAGGCACGCGGATCAACTTGCATTTGGGCGAGAAAACGCCAAAGTATGAATCTTAGGCGCAAAACAAACCATGCTGACCCGGTAGGTTCTTGTTTCTTGGCCAGAAACAAGCATAAAGCCAAAAACCCTGAACTGACAACAACACAGGCCCACCAGCACTGTTTTGGAAAAAACAAACGAGTTACAACCTGTGTTTTTTAGAAGCACCTCAACACCCTGGCGAAATGGAACGAACTGGGCGAAATGCCTAAAACGTTTATAAGCCCAGAGCACAACCCAAGTAGGGGGGACTCAAACGGGCATCAGGTGTAACTAATCAGGCACGTCTGTGGGCGAACAGAGAACGACAAAGGCTTCGTAGCACTTCGTCTTTGTTCCCTTGACCAAAAGCGGGGTGGCAACTGCTAAGTACAATTGATGCCCAACCAGTGCACGCGAATCTGCCATGCACCGGATGGAAACGCTGCCCCCGAGCTCGAAACACCTGCTTGTTGCTCCCACATTACAGGCACCTGGATGGCTGCGTGCAGTACATGCGCTGCGGCCACCAACACACGTGCAGTCCCCAACAAGGCAGGCCGACCCTGGTTTGCCTTGTTTTGGGGCCAGAAGTCAGTCTGGCGAAACGTATGGACGAAACGTGACAGGCTTCGTTAATGCATTCGCCGAACTTTCCCGCCACCTAAGCGAGGTTCATGGTGCGTGTAACAGACATGTGGGTAGATACACACTGCCACGTGTATTATGCCTGTGTGGGGTACAAGCGCATTATCAGCCAGGCGTTGTTCGCCGAAACCATTGAATCGTGTGGTAACCAAAACCAACAATCCGAAACTCAAGACCAATGCATGGAACAAACAACCAAGAACACGTCTTGGAATAGCCAAGGAAAACAGGCCCCAGGAGTGCCACAATACGCTCAACCTTCTAAGTTTAAAACAGCCCAACGAAATCACAAGAGCATCGTTCTATCGCCCTCCCGCCTCTCACAATGCCTCGTTTTCACCGTCGTGAGCAGCTCCCGCTCCATATTAAGCGCACTATTTGCGCGCATCACGTGGGGCACCCTCGCCTGCGTCATGTTGACCTGGCGAGGTGGTGCTTTTCCCAGTACGGACTGCGCCCGGACCGCTCCACCGTCGGGCGCATTCTGAAGTACGCCGAGCGCTGGGTTGTCGTGGCGACGGGCGACAACCAAGTGCGCCGCCGAGGCGACGCATGGCCTGAGCTGGAGCAGGCCATGGCGCGTTGGATCGCAAACGCTGGGCCCGCTGGCGTCCCTCTGACGCTGCAGACAATCCGCGACCATGTCGCCACCATGGCGCGGAACATGGGCATTCCGCCCACATTTCGCTGCTCAATCGGCTGGGTGCGCCGTGCGTTGTGGCGCCAGGGGGTGAGGTGCCGTGCCTCAGCCGGCGAGGCGGCCAGCGCTGACATGGCCGCCGTGCGCGACGCCCGGGCGAAGCTGCCGCAACTTCTCACTCACCTCGGCCTCAGCCCGCGCGACACGTTCAACCTGGACGAGACCGCGCTCTGGTTGTCCGTGCTGCCGAGGCGATCGTACAGCAATGGTCGCATTCCAGGGCGCAAAGTGTCGAAGGAGCGTCTGACCGTGGCGTTCCTCGTCAACGCTGGTCATCAGCAAGGCGAAGCGACCGCACGATTTCCGGCCGGATTACGATCCCGAAGCCCTGTGCTACTGGCGTCACAATGCCAAGGGTTGGATGACGGCACCGGTACGCATTTTTCTTCGTTTGAGTGAGCAACGTTGTTTTATATTTGTGTTCCCGCTGGTTTTTTAACTCTGCATTCCTCACAAAATCCCCTGGCTGCCCTTCCCCTCCGACAGTTGTTCACTCATTTCATTTCGCAGCTCAATGCTGCAATGTACGCGGAAGGACGCCACATCGCCGTTTTGCTTGACAACGCGAGCTCGCACATGCTACGGAGCGAGCACGCGTGGAGCGAGATTGTTTGCGGCATGAGGACGACTTGCCTGAGCAACGTCCGTCTCGTCTTCCTGCCGCCGAACACCACTGCCTTCACCCAGCCCCTTGACCAGGGCATAATTGCCACCGCAAAAGCCCGCTACCGCCAGCACTGGCTGCGGGCCTTGACGGCTCTTTGGAACGCCGACGGGGCGACAAGCGCTGTCGCGCGGTACCGACTGAACCTGCGCGACGTGTTGGGGTGGTTGTCGGATGCGTGGACGAGTGTCGGTGCGCGCACGATCCAGAGGTGCTGGTGGCGCACGGGATGTCTCCCGGTGTCGTGGTCTATGGAGTTGACGCACGTTCACGACGACGAGCCCGTCCCTGCCGTCTATCCTGACATTGAGCTCAATGACGACATCGACGATGTCGGCACGCTCATCAGTGGGCTCGGCCTCGGCAACGGCGCGATGACGGCCGCCGAGTACGTCGCCATCAACGACGCCGAGCCGACGTGCGCCGAACGCGCGGCGGAACAGACGACGGCGGAGGCAGAGGCGGGCCTGGTGGTGGAGCTCTGGGAGGCACCGACGACCATGCAGGCCGTCTACGACGATGTCGACCCCGTGGGCCGTGAAGCGCGGCGCACTGCCCGGGCGGCATTCGAAATGCTCATCGGATATGCTCGCGCCACGTGCATCACGCCGCGCGACCTCTGCCACCTCTTCGATATCCGCAACCCCATCATTATCGAGAGGATGGAGTGGGCAAGCCCGGCTTTCAATCTCAACGTGGCCCCTCCGCCAGTGCCTACCCCCGGCGCTACACCCACGCCCGAGGCCCCTCGTCCGCGCGGCCGTGTGCTGCCTGGCTGGATGACCCAGCCGTCCCGCCGTCAGCAGCTGCTTGACGCCGGTGTGGGCGCCGTGATGGACGGGTATGTTGACGCGGCGGAATGGATGCGCCTGTGAGTTGTGCCTGAGGCCACTGTGCAATGAGCTGAAGGCATTTTGCAGTGCACAAGTGTTCACTCCTTGTGCACATTTGTGCGTGTTTCGATGCTGGAGTTGAATGGGGCTGAGGGACATGTGGGAGATGCTGATTGGATGTGTATCGTGTATGTTTGTACTTGTTTTGGTAGTTTGGTACTATGAGGAACATTTGATGAAGCTGGTCGTTTCATTGTTGTAGCATTCGCTGAGTAACGTGTAACACACAGCATGGACAAGTAGGGCCAACCAGTACTGTTGAGAATCGGACAAATCGGATGGTTACCATGTTCAGTGTTGAAGCACACCTAAAGCCTGACGAAACGAACGAAACCTACGCGAAATGCAGGTTTAGCTTACAGACCCCCTTCACAAGGCAACCGGGAGGGGCTCTAACGGGCATTAGCTGTAACGGAATGCGTATGTTCTGAAAGGCATCTCTTATGTCAGTGAAAAACCAAACAGAATTCTTATGTCCAATTGAATGCTAGGTTCTTACCGTATGTATAAAGTACTGTGTCAACAAGCTTACGTCAAACACACCAGTGGCATCGTGACTCATAGTAGTAGACGTACATTGTTAGAGCAACAACCAAACAAAAACATAAGAATGGAAGCTTGGGTAAAAAGTTTTTAGAAAAGTAAAAATAATACATGTTTCACCATTGAAGGAGAGGTTCTGGAGGGGCACAGAAATTTGACTTATCTAACCCTCCATGAAGCAATTGGGCGATTACCCTATGAGCCTATCCCCCTATTTATGCCTTCGCACATTTTCTAAAAAGGTGGTATGCATGTCGGATGAACCGGTTTCTGATTAGGCATGTCGGGTGATCAATGTGACTCCGCAGTCAGGCAGTTGTGCTTTGGATTGGAAGGTGAAGTGGAGATTTTGTACGATGAGTACATCGTTTATGTGTGTTTCTGTCGCGCTTTAAACACAACCATTCCTTGTGCACTTGCCTGTAGTTATCGTTTTTCGCTACGGCGACATAGGTGACTGCGGGAGTGCCGATGGCGTTTGAGATGTAGCATCGTGAGCCCAACATATATTGTCCGCAACAGCTGTCCAAGTACCAGGTATTATAGTTGTTGTTCTCGCGGGTAAACAATGCGAGTCGCGGCGTGCCGATGTGAGGAGTGTCATTTTTTCGGAAATTTGTTGCAGGCGTTCCAGTCTGTAGGTGCTGGTCGCAAGTCGTAGTGGTGTGGAGGGCTTTCCCATAGTGGGATAGATGGGCTTTCTTGGTTATCATCATCATTGTAATCACGTCCATTAGTAAAGGGGTTGTTGTTATCCTCTGGTTGTATTGGTTCGCCAGTAAAATCCTCTTTGGGCGTAGGAGAACGCATGCGTCATCGTGCATCGCCACCTTGTCGATGACATATCTGGTGCCTTGTGCCGGTTGTGTCTGCTGTTGCTTCGCAGCATAGTGTCAGAAACACTAGGAGTAGGGCCTAGGCTAAGTAGCCTAGGCCACACGAATACTAGGAGGTTGTGCCCTAGGGCTAGCGAGAATGTTGACAGAACAGAAATGAATGAAGAAAAGATGATTGCACTAGCAGGCAGGTTGGAACAAATAGGAAACCCTAAAGGGTTGTACTCATTATTGAGTACCCAACTGCAGGCTAGACAAAGAACATATTCTGACACACCCCCATAGTCAAAGTGGGGTATAATCAGCACAGCAAGAAGTCATAGAATAAGTCACAAGCACAACCAAAGCTAGAGGCAGTCACAGAGGGCAAGTGAGGAGGAGGAGGGACTGTGAGAGGAGTGGAGATAGGAGGCGACAGGTGAAGCCGCAGTCACACGGGCAACAGGAGCAGCGCGCACGAGGGCACCGGACTACGGGAGTATCTGGCTCCGCGGCTACGACGAGCGGCAGGAGCAACGGACCCACAGGCGACTGGCGAAGCAGGCTCGCTGGGCTACCGAGAGCACGAGGGCTCCGGACTACTGGCGCTGTTGACGACACGACGGCGACCTCCGCTCAACCTCCCTTAACATTCCCACACCCCCTTCTCACACACCCACTGCTACACCCCTAGCTCCACTACCACGGCACCCCCCTAGCGCCACTGCCCTCGGCTCCCACACATCCACCCCCCTCAGCGGCAGCTGCAGCAGTGGGAGACGGAGGAGGAGAAGGAAGGGACGACGCACACGTATCACCCCCACACCCGCCACCCCCACACCCTCCTGTCCAGGGGACCGGGGGGAGGGGGGGGTAGAGCAGGACAGAGCGCGCGAGGGCGCGGGTAGAGCAGAGCGCACGAGAGCGCGGGCAGCAGCAGAGCGCATGAGGGCGCAGGCAGAGCAGAGCGCACGAGGGCGCGGGTGAGACAGAGCGCACGAGGGTGCGGGCAGAGCAGAGCACACGAGGGCGCGGGTGAGACAGGGTGGCTGCACAGGGTCCAGGAGCGGCGTCGCGGGCAGCTGCAGGGTCGGCTGCTGCAGGGGCGGCTGTTCCAGGGGCCAGGGGCGGCTGCTGCAGGGGCGGCTGGTCCAGGGGCCAGGGGCGGCTGTTGCACGAGCAGGGACGGCGCCCAGGGGTGCCGCGACGAGCAGGGGCGATGCCCCAGGGGCGCCGCGATGAGCAGGGGCGGCGTCCAGGGGGCGCCGCGACGGGCAGGGGCGACGCCGCGCGGGTCCCGCAGGGGCGTCGCGACGAGTAGGGATGGCGCCAAGGGGCGCCGCGACGAGCAGGAGCGATGCCGCAAGGGTCCCGCAGGGGCATCGCGACGAGCAGGGCGACGCCGCGCGGGTCCCGCAGGGGCATCGTGACGAGCAGGGCGACGCCGCGCGGGTCCCGCAGGGGCGTCGCGACGAGTAGGAGCGGCGACGCACGGGTCCCGCAGGGGCGTCGTGACGAGCAGGAGCGGCGCCTCGCAGGGCGCCGCAACGAGCAGTGAAACCGCCACGCGCCCCGAGCACGCGGCGGGCAGAAAAAGCCGCCACGCGCTCGGAGCGCGTGGCGGAAAGAAAATAACACGTCACGCACCACGGGGCGCACGACAGACAGAACGACATCGGAAGCAGTTGGTGGGCCCGTTAAGAGAAGCGGCAGGAACGTGCTCGCTCTAGATACCATGTCAAAAACACTAGGAGTAGGGCCTAGGCTAAGTAGCCTAGGCCACACGAGTACTAGGAGGTTGTGCCCTAGGGCTAGCGAGAATGTTGACAGAGTAGAAATGAATGAAGAAAAGATGATTGCACTAGCAGGCAGGTTGGTACAAATAGGAAACCCTAAAGGGTTGTACTCACTATTGAGTACCCCACTGCAGGCTAGACAAAGAACATATTCTGACACGTAGGTGGACGGGAAGCTTGTTGGGATTGGCGTGTGTCTTGTCAGCAGACCCAGTTGTTGTGGTGAGTGGAATTTGGGTGGAGTGAGCCGGATCGAAACTTACATAAATTATCTGGGTGTCCAACAGTTTTACAGATTCTGCAGTATTGGTGCCGCAGTTGTTGTCGCTCTTCTCGGTTGTCCGTGTAAAAGGCAAAGCGCTCTCGTCACGACGTTGAATTTGACTTGTTTAAGTCCACGTCTTGCTGTTTCACGAGAAGGGTGGTGCAAAGTGAGGCTTCCGGGATTGCTCCCTGCTGTCGGAGTAGCACCTTGGAGGGCCTCCACTCTGGCCCGAGTCCGACGAGCACGATAGTGACAATGATTTTTTCAGATTTGGTGCTCCAGTGCTTCGCAATGGCATCGATTAATATACGAATCCGCTTTCTCCCCGTGGCCCATTTTTATATCCATGAGCTGCTGCAGGAGCCTGCTGGATGTGACTGAGTCTTTCGGCTAATACATATTCGTGAGGTACCTCCAAGCCTCTAGTGATGGGCACGGTTTCTCCTTGAAGGAGCGAATGTTGAGTTGCTCCGCGGGCGCGGAGAAATCTTGAGAATCCGTGTGGTATCTTGGCGCCTTCAGTGCAATCACCAGGCATGAGTAGGAGCCATCAAAGTAATAGCTATAATTCAAAGCTTCAAGTGTAAAAGTCTTTCTTGTCGTAAACGATGCGTATCTTGATTTTGGAGATGTTCAGGAAACGTGTCTGCGCAGAGTTGGTGTCTTCATCACTTGGACATCGGGCTGTTGTTGTTGAATTGTCTGTTTCAAGGGAGAAGGTGTGTTGGGCGGTTCCGCGGTCGGTCGCGACCGGATGAGTGGGTTGAGTAGGTTGGGAGGAGGTTCCCGTGTCGATATTCCGCAATGTTTTATTTCCTTGCTCCAAAGTTGATAGTCTTTGAAGTAGTTGCTCGAGGGCGGTAGAGGTGATCGCTGTTATCGCCTCTGATGTCGCAACAAGATTGGGCTGAGCTTCATCCGTCATATTTGTTCATCGGTTGACGACCCTCGTCGTCGCAGGTCGACAAATTTCGTCGTCGGGGGTCGATGATCTTCGTCGACCACCTTCGTCGACCACCTCAGTCGACATTTCGAAATTCTGGCTCCTCATTGTTGAAATTAAGCCACATTTGAATTTCTAGCGGAAACTCGCCCGTCCATCCGCGATGGTGCACAGGGAAAGACGCGACCCTGCGCAGATGAACACCCTGGTCAACGAACCGCTTCGTCGACCATCCTCGTCGAACTGCTTCATCGACCACCTTCGTCGATGGTGTCAACCTTCGTGGACGGTCGGCTGCACCTCCTGCGCACCCGACCACAAGGTCAATGTCATCCTCTACAGATGGTCGGCTGCACCTCCCGTGCACCCGACCACGAAGTCGGCTTTGCTCAAGCGAGGGCGGGGCCAAATTCGTTCAACACTCCCTTGCTGCACTCACGCTTGGGCGCCCTACACACAAGGTCCACCCATAATAGAATGAATAGAATACACGGGGAAAATTATTCAGCGTGCACACAACACACAACACGCCGGTCACCGCACCAACTGTACAGAAGGGCACGGCACCAACAACTATACATCGTCGTTACCGTCGCCGACGTCAGCCAGACGAACTTGGC